CTTTTATTTGTGTGTACTTATTTGTGTGTCCTCGGGCCCCTTCAATATGTATACACATCTGCATTCCACAAACAGTGCTTGCACTCAGGGTCTCTCATTTCTGGTCTGAGGAACTGGGCCTGACCGTCGGTGTGGCGCCTCCGTGGTCGCCGTGGCCGCCCCGTCGCCGCTTCGCCGCCGCCCGTTGTCTGGGCCCGACCGTCGGTCTGGCGCTCGGTGGTAGCCGTGGCCGCCCCGTCGCCGCCTCGTCGCACTCCGTCGTCTGGGCCTGACCGCCGGTCTGGTGGCTCCGTGGTCGCCGTGGCTGTCTTGTCGCCGCCCGTTGTCTGGGCCTGATCGCCGGTCTGGCGGTTCTATGGTCGCTGGCGCCGCCCCGTCGCCGCCTCGTCGCCGCCCGTCGTCTGGGCCGGACCAGCGGCGTGCCGGCTCCGTGGTCGCTGGCGCCGCCCCGTCGCCGCCTCGTCGCCGCCCGTCGTCTGGGCCTGATAGTCGGTGTGGCGGCTCCGTGGTCGCCGTCGCCGCCCCGTCGCCGCCTCGCCGCCGCCCGTCGTCTAGGCCTGACCGTCTATCTCCCCGTCGCCGCCTCGTCGCCGCTTGTCGTCTTGACCTGCATTGCTTTGCATTGCTTTGCGTTGGTTTTCGTTGCTTTGTATTGCGACTGTGTTTCATAGCTTTGCATTGCTTTGTATCTTCTTGCATTGCTAGCATCGAATTGCGTTGCACTGCAATCGCACTGCTTTACAATCGCATTGCGCTGCATTGCTTGGCGTTGCTTCGCGTTACATAGATGACGCCGCATATATACACACATATATATATATATATATATATATATGCATCGAGCACTTTCTATGGCACAAATGAGAGTCTGCCACATCTATAGCACTACGTCGCGACACATTGATAGTACCTACATGCTGCACCACATTCACAGCTATTCTTACACATTACACAGCACGCATGTATATACATATAAACTTACATGCATATTGCAAAACGTACATTGCACACTGTAGGTTGTACCACCCATGTTCTACTTTATGAATCATGATCTGGACGACATGAATACGCGCGCGTCGTCGCGCGCACGCATTCTATATTTTTTCGAACACATTTGATGCCGTAAGGATTTCAAAACCCAGTGCCCCGAAACATATAACAAACACATGGTTCTGCAACCGCAGTTTTTTGGTTGTTTTTGTTGTTTACATCTCTGCGCAAAAATTAGCCTGGCGAAGGACCGAACCATACTCAGCTGTAGGTACCGCGATCGCGTGTATACTATTCGGTGGTGTTTGCTGTGTGGGGGGGGGGCGCGAAATGTGTGAGGGTGTCTAGGCGTGCCTGCTTTGCGGTACGCCATGCAGGGCTCCGCAGCTCCGCAGGTCGCTCCATCCAGGTGGAGCAACCTGTGGGGCCGCGAAACGCGGTGCTGGGTGGGGGAGACGCATGCGAATACCGCCATTGGGGCCGTAGGTGGAGCCCCCTGTGGGGCGACGAAACGCGGTACTGGGTGGGAGAGACGTATGCGAACTCCGCTACCGAGGCCTTCGGTGGAGCTCCCTGTGGGGCCACGAAACGGTGTCTTGTGTGGGAGAGACGCATGCGAACACCGCCACTGGGGCCTGAGGTGGAGCTCCCTGCGGGGCCACGAAGCGCTGTCCTGGGCGGGGGAGACACGTGCGAACACCGCCATTCGGGCCTTAGGTGGAGCTCGATGTGGGCCACGAAACGCTTGATTGTGTGGGGGAAACGCATGCGAACAGCGCCACTGGGACCTTACGTGGAGCTCCCTGTGGGGCCACGAAACTTTGTGCTGGGCGGGGGAGGCGCATGCGAACACCGCCACAGGGGCCTTTGGTGGAACTCCTTGTGGGGCCACGGAACGCTGTCCTGGGCGGGGAGATGTATGCGAACACCGCCACGAGGGCCTTAGGCGGAGCTCGATGTGGGGCCACGAAGCGCTGCCTTGGGTGGGGAGACGCATGCGAACACCGCGACTGGGACTTTCGGCGGAGCTCCTTGTGGGGCCACGAAACGCTGCCCAGGGTGGGGGAGACGCATGCAAACACCGACAAAGAGGCCTTAGGTGGAGCTCCTTGTGAGGCCACGAAGCGTTGTCCCCGGCGGGGAAGACACATGCGAACACCGCCATTCGGGCCTTAGGTGGAGCTCGATGTGGGGCCACGAAACGCTGTCCTGTGCGTGGGGGAGACGCATGCGAACAGCGCCACTGGGACCTTACGTGGAGCTCCCTGTGGGGCCACGAAACTTTGTGCTGGGCGGGGGAGGCGCATGCGAACACCGCCATTCGGGCCTTAGGTGGAGCTCGATGTGGGGCCACGAAACGCTGTCCTGTGCGTGGGGGAGACGCATGCGAACACCGCCACTGGGACCTTACGTGGAGCTCCGCCGAAGAAGTCGCAGTACCTCCGAGCAAATTGCTTTTTGGTCGCTTCCTGAATGTCTGGAGGGTTCCAGGCATTCAGGAAATCTTCGATCGTCGAACTCCGAATCTAGATCCATTGCCTGTCTCTCTCGATCGATAACTTTAAACCTCGAGCCTCAAGCGTGGAATCAAGATCGTCGGGTCAGCTCGATTCACTTCGTAGGAGAACGCCGTCTGGGCGTTTTTGGGGTTCTTTTGGGCCGTCCTGGGGCCCTCTTGGGCCGTCGTCCTGGGTCCTTCTGGGGCCGCCTTGAGGAGCTGGGGCCTTCCAGAGGTCAGCTGATGCCATCAAGGGCCCTCGTGGGGGCCCCCAGTGGCCTTCTTGGGGGTCTCCCATGGTTTTCGTGCGTCTCTATTGGGGGCCTTCTTGGTGCATCTTTGGGCTTCTTGTGGGCAGTCTCGGGGTTTTGGGGGTAGTCTTGGGGCCCTTTTGGGCCGTCTTAAAACCTGTTGGGGGGCCTCTTGGGCCGTCTGGGGGCGATGCGGGGGGCCCATGGGCCGTCTTGGACTCTGCGAAGACCGAGAAAGCGGATATGCAACAAATCTTCATTTTCCTAAGGGGGTGGGACGATTTGTGCTTCTTCGGGGCTCTCTTGATGGTCTCTTGGGGCTTATTGTGAGGGGCTTCTTGGGCCAGTTTCAGACCATCGAGGTTCCTCTTGGAGCGTTGTTGTGCTGTCTTGGGTCTCTCTTGCGCCTTTCCGATGACCCCTCTGATCGCCTTGAGTCTGCTCGCAAGGCCCAGCAAGGCGCCCTGGGAGTCCCAGGAGGACCAGCGGACCTTTGCCAAGGGCGTCCAGGGGGGGCGTTCGGGGCGTCCCTGGGGGGGGTGTCGGTTTAGGGGGTGGGTGGGGGGTGGGGGTGGGGGGGTTCGGGTAATAAAAATATAAGAAAGGGAATCTTGTTATATTGATACAGATATGTGTATATATATATGTGTGTATATGTATATAATATTTTTATGTATATAGCGAAGGCCTTATGCCGCCGACCTCGAAGAGGGACAACGACGACGACGGCGACGACGACGACGACGGCGGTGGCGGCGGCGAGGAGGGGGTTTTAAAAGGAAGGTCGGGGAGTGGACCTCAGCCGAATCCGCCTTTGCCTCCGCGTCTGACTTAAACCTCCTCAACACACCCTCGCCTCCTCTGCCCGTATCTCCCGAGGCTCCCGGATCCAGAGCTCCCCAGTGACACTCGGAGGTTTCTGGAAGCCCATCCACTGTGCAAGCGCAGAACATTCCGATGTGCTTTTGTCCTCGAGGAGCCTCCGCTTCCACCTGTCCCTGCCCCCGCCCCCCCCTCCGCTTTCACATGGGCGGGCGGGCCTGGCGTGCTCCGCCGTCCGGCGCCGCCCTCTGGCCGTTCTGCTGAGGCCTCGACGTCTGCGTGCGCAAGCCGCTCGTGGTGACGTGCGGCGTGGACAAGTCTGTGCGCGCATGGGGCTTGGCCGCGCGGCGCCCCCTCCGATTCGATTCTATTCGACTTCGACGGATTCCGATTCCGATTCGATTCGATTTCGGATTCCGATCTGGGCTCCGATTCCTTGTCGGACGCACCCCAGCCTGCCGATTTCTGCCGACTCGACTTTTCCCGACTCGGTCGCCGATTTTCGCCGATCCGACCCATCTCGATCGCCGATCCGACTTGGGGCGATCTTGATGGCCTCTTGGGCAGTCTTGGGCCGTCGGAAGGCCAGAAAGGAGCAAAAGCCAAAATCATCAAAAAACCCAAGGGAAATCAATGCTTTTGACCTCTTCGGGCCGTCCTTGAGTACCCTGGAGGACCTCTTCGAGGCCTCTTGGGCCGTCTTGGAGGCCCCTTGGAGGCCTCTGGGGCCGTCTGCGTCGCGTCTCCCGGCTCGATGCGAGGCGTGGGTCGTTAGTCTTGCCCGGGCCGCGTGCACGTTGGTGTGTGCGTGTGGCTCGTGCCCCTCTCGCCCCTTAACGCCCTGTCCCCTCCTGGGTCTTCGGCGCTGTTGCGCGCCTCCTCTCTCCGTTCCCCTTTTTCCTCCTTGCTCCTCATCATCTGGTTCTCAGGGGTGCTGCGTTATTTGTGCACCGCAAGTTGACGAATGCTAGCATTAGTTTTGTTGGTGTGAGTGGGCGTACTTTGCCGTGCACGCTGAACGTATTACGAGCACTTCAATGTTTGCTGGCTGCGGCCCATTCCGCCCATCCCTCGAGGGACGAGCTCGGGCGCGACGGTGGCGGTTCGTTCGTTCGTTGTTCTCTGGGTGATTTTGACAATTACGCTGCCCGTTCCATGTCGCACGTGTCCCACGCAATGTTGGTTCCGTTTGTGCGGAGGATGTTTTTGGTGCTTCACTGTTGCATTTGGTCGTGTTCGTGACCACAAACCGGTCTGAATAATGTTGCAGTGCTGTTTTGTTTTGGTTTGGTCTGAAATTTGCTAGCGTGCGCTGCAGTGCAGCGCGTTGCAGTTGTGCTCGGTTGTGCTCGGTTGTGCTCGGTTGTGCTCGGCGCTGGTTCGTTTTGCTTTGAACAGCTTTGCATTGCTTTGCTTTGGCTTACTTTTCATTGCGTTGCATTGCTCCCTGTTGTGCTGTGGTGCGATGCGTGTGTTGAGCTGCATTTTATTCAGGTTGCATGTCATCGCGCTGCTTACTGCTGGGGATGTCTTCGAGGAACGGGGTGGTTATCCGTAAGGGCTTCGCCCCATGCCGCCGGCCCTTTTCCTCGGATAATGTGGGAGATGCAAAAGTTAACTCATGAGGTCTGGGCGCTGCCGTGAAGCAGTGTCGGGACTTGTTTGTTTTTCGACCCTGGCTCCGCCGATTTGCGTGAGGGGTGCAATCGAATTTCAGGAATGTTGCAAATCCCATGTGTTTTTGGACCCTGACCATGCCGAATTGCGTGAGGGTGTGCTGCCGAATTTCAGACATGTGGTACATATAATCTGTTTTTGGACCCTGACCCCGCCGATCTGCGTGAGGGGTGCCATCGAATTTCAGAAATATGGCAAATCCCATGTGTTTTTGGACCCTGACCCCGCCGATCTGCGTGAGGGTTTTAAACAATGTGGCAAATCCATGTGGTTTTGGACCCTGACCCTGTCGATCCGCATGAGGGGTGCCACCGAATTTCAGAAATGTGGCAAATTCCATCGGTTTTTGGACCCTTACCCGTCCGACCTGGGAGAGGGGTGCCATCGAATTTAAGAAATGTGGCAAATCCCATGTGTTTTTGGACCCTGACCTTGCCGATCTGCGTGAGGGGTGCCACCGAATGTCAGAAAGTAGCAAATCCCATGTGTTTGTGGACCCTGACCCCGCCGATCTGCGTGTGGGGTGCCACCGAATGTTAGAAATGTGGCAAATCCCATATGTTTTTGGACCCTGACCCCGCCGATCTGCGTGAGGGGTGGCAGCAAATTTCAGAAATGTGGCAAATCCCATGCGTTTTTGGACCCTGACCCCGCCGATCTGCGTGAGGGGTGGCAGCAAATTTCAGAAATGTGGCACATCCCATGCGTTTTTGGACCCTGACCCCGCCGATCTGCGTGAGGGGTGCCAGCAAATTTCAGAAATGTGGCAAATCCCATGTGTTTTTTGGACCCTGACCCCGCCGATCTGAGCGAGGTGTGCCACCGAATTTCAGAAATGTGGCAAATCCCATATGTTTTTGGACCCTGACCCCGCCGATCTGCGTGAGGGGTGTAAATTTTTATCCACCCCAGCAATTCAGAGCACACGCTCAGGGCGTGCTAAAGCGGCCTGTTTGGGCCTCCCCCCCCTCGCGCGGTCCATCAACAACGTACAGTCAGCAGCAAGAAGCAGAACTGTAACAGTGGAAACTGGACGCTGCAACTGGTACAGGAAACTGCGAACCTTCGCCCTACAGCCTGGTGGCCCCACAAGGGGGCCGGCGGATTCCCGAGCCAGGTGCGGACGGCGTTCCAGAAGAACCCAGTTTCGGTGTCAAAGTCGCCACTTAGTTTCTTGCACATACCAGGCTGAGCAGGGCACCTTAGGCAACGGCGCAGTTGGGAATAGCTATATCGGGTCTCTGCCCTAGGGTCATGCGCCTTTGTTCAGTCTTGCTTTCGTTTCCTGGAGCCCAGGCTGGATACTGTTTCACTAGCGTGTCGGATCTCCCCATGAGACTTCCCACTTCGATCTTCCATTTACATAAAGTTATATACATTTACGCGTACATGCATATGTGTATAGTTTTATCTGCATGTACGTATTTACAAAGACATGCATACATACATACATCCATCCATCCATCCATCGATCCATACATACATGCATACATACATACATACATACATACACACATGCAGTTATACATACACACATATATATATATATATGTTTATGCGCATCGATGCACCTGTGTACATATGTATATATGCTCGTGTATATACATTCACATGCATTTATACATAATTGTATAGTTACATATACGAACCATGCTTACATATACATGTTGACATTTATGTATGCATGTATACATGTCTACGTGTGCGTATATGTACATAGGTCTCTATATACATGCATACATTTATACATGTGTAGACACATCAATGTGTGTTTATATACGTATAGTCAGATGGAACCATGTGCCTTAGTTTATAGATATATCTATAGCGCATATAGTCACGAGGTCTGGAATTATATCGACAAGACGCAGGAGCTCTGCAAGTTCTTTGGCGAGGAGGCGTACAGCGTGGCCTTCCATCCCAGGTGGGTGTGCCACCCTCTGCTATCTGGGGGCCCACGCAGCCGTCTGAGGGCTGAGTTTCTGCGCCCAAATAGGTGTTGCATGCCACCGCCGATTTGCATCGTGGACGGCATACGTGGATACCTTTTCGATCAGCCTGCGGCTCGGAACAGTGGCACAGTTCGTACGTTCCGTGTTTTCCTCTGTGAGACCCCCCCGCAGACGCCGCGCGAACTCGCGGTTCGCGACGCGTTGGCGTCATTCGTCGCCAGAAGCAGAGGCCTCCAGATGTCTCCGCCTGCACTCCGATGCCTCCAGAGGGGCCTCCCGAGAGGCCTCGGGAGTCTAACACAAGCCCTTCGCCCGTCCAGAGACCGCGACCCCCGATTCTGGAACTTCGGTGTCGAGATCTGCTAGTCGTCTGTGAGCCGGCCCTTGCCAGCGAGAGCGCGCCCACGACCGGCAAGAGAGGACGGACGTCGTCAGCTGACCTTCGAGGGCCCCCCCAGGCTTCTTGAGGATTCAAGTGAAGCTCGGAGGCCCAGAGGGCGACACCAGCACCATCATCGGCGGTGTGCCTCCACCGAGGGAGGATGATCCAGATCTCGGTGGTGGTGTCAAATGTTCGGGCCTCCTGGGTGGCCGAGACATTACCACCAGGCACCAGAACCTGGGATCACGCTCCCCCGGTGTGCGGGCAGCCCCCTCTCTCTTCCAGTGGTGCTGGTGCCCCCAGCGGCTCAGCCCCCCCCAGTGGAGGACGATCTTCCCCCTGCGCTGGTGCTTCGGGCGACGAAATCTATACATATCCACTGCTCCCTGACCATGCCCATCTTGAACCCAGGAGCTGTGTATGCGCTCTCCCTGGCCAAGCCAGGAGGGCGTGGCGTATACACCGCTGCGGGGTTGAGGATGGGCCTGGCCAGGGAGCAGTGGATATGTATAGATTTCGTCGCCCTATGGTGCTGGCGCCCACCTCCACGCCGGCAGGGAGGCGCGCGAGGCCCCTGCGCGGGGCGGCCGTGGGCCGCGCACGTGTGCGCCGGGGCCCCCCCGCTCCCCCGGCGGCCGGGCGGCCGTCGGCCGACGCCGGGCCTTCCGCCGCCGGGCCCGGCGTGGGGGCTCGCCGCGCCAGGGGCGGGGGGGCGCGGAGCGTGGAGGGCAGAGTGAAGAAGGGTCTACTCTGTAAGAACGGTTTTTTGAAGGCAGATCTGCCTTCAAAAAACTCTGTAAGAACGGTTTTATGAAGGCAGATCTGCCTTCAAACAACCTCTGTAAGAAAACGTTTTTTGAAGGCAGATCTGCCTTCAAAAAACCGTTCTTACAGAGTAGACCAGTTTTTTGAAGGCAGATCTGCCTTCAAAAAACCGTTCTTAAAGGGTCCAGGCAGATGCGAGCACAGTCGATCTCCACAATCGAAGCATCGTCCCCGGACCACCTGTTGGACTCTTGCGGAGGCCTTGCGGCCGGTGCCGCCGACCCTGAAGACGACGACGACGAAAACGAGGAGGGGGAGGAGGAGGAGGAGGAGGAGGAGCAGGAGGAGGAGGAGGAGGAGGAGGAGGAGGAGGAGGAGGAGGAGGAGGAGGAGGATGAAGAGGGGGATTGAGGTGGAAGGGAGCATGAGAAGGCGAAGGAAGCTCAGGGAGAGCTCGGCGGCGCGCGATGATGGGGGGAAATTGGGGGCCTCTTGGGGCCCGCTTTGGGGCCTTCTGGGGTTTCCTTGGGCCTTGAGGGCCTCTTGGAGACTTCTTGGGGGCCTCTTGGGGGCCTCTTGGGCCCGAGGGCTCGAAGTGTCCGTTCGCGTCCCCGTCTGGGCACGCTCTTGGAGCGCTTGTCGGGGTTGCTTGGGCCGTCCTGGAGGCGCCTTGAGCTGTCCTAGACTGCTCTTGGGCATTTGTGGGACTCTCTTAGAGACCTCTGGGGCCGTTTCGGGGTGTTCTTGCAAGCCTCGTGGGCTGGTTTGGATCGTCGGGAAGCGGAAGAGGCCAGAAAGCCTAAATCGTTCCAAAACGCATAGGAAATCAATGAATGTTGCCTCATGGGGGCCGTCTTGGGAGTGATCCTAGATGCTTCTGGGGGCGTCTTGCACGCCTCTCGACTCGTCTGGAAGCCGTGAAGGCGTCTTGGCGGATGCGTATTTGACCCTCCCCCCGGGACCCCTCCGGGACTCCCCCCCCTCGGTGGGGGAGGGATCAAAGGGAAGGGGCTTCCCTTCGACTTAAGTACGTACGACGTTGCTACGGTTTACTCTCGCTGGCAGGCTTGAGGAGGGTGCAGGGAAAGGGGACGACGGAGACGCAGGGTAAGACGACAACGGATGCGTCGACTGAGCGCACGCCGACAGGGGGTCCACACGCCGACATGGTCGGCGGATTTCGGAATTCTTATTGTAGAGGGACATGCCCGACTCAATACCACCCACGTGACCACCCCAACCCAACCCGAAGATTCAGATCTCGGGTCGGGGCGCACGGGCTCCATATGAGTTCTGTCGGAGTGTGGACGAGCGACCTTCTCAAGGATACCCCTGCATCCTTCCCCTCCGGCCCGTTCTCGGCCACCGGCGCTCGCCGCGCCCGGCCCGCAGAGTGTCGGCGTGGCCCTCCGCGGCTCCTGCATCCTCGTCGTGCATCCTCGTGATACGGGTGGGCTGTACAGTCGGGGCGCTGAAGAAGGAACCCTCTTCGTTGGGGAGGGGCTCGGGGTTCCTTGATTGTTCCAAAATTTGCCTCGGGTTTTCCCGAGGTTTCCCATGGGAAATCGAGGTTGAACTTACGGGGAAAAGGGGCCACGTTCCTTATTTAGGGTTCCTTAGGTCAACGCCTCGACTGTACCTGCGGTTCAGCGTGTTGGTCCCCAAGCGCGCGTGCCCTCGGCGGCGTGCACCAGGGGGGGTGAGGCGAGGGGTGTCGGCGACCACAGAGGGAATGGTTACGCCGGGGTGTGGCTTGCGATCGGCACCGTCGGGCCCTGGAGGCACGACGCCGTTCAGAGGCGACGATCGCCCAGGGGAGAGCAATACATGTATCCAGGGGCGCCGAGGACCTATGTCTTCGACAGGGCTCCTGGGCGAATGCGTGCAATGCCCGCCCCTGGGCTATTCGCCCCTTCTCGTCGCCGCCGAGCTGTCCTCGTCGGGCCTCCTCGGGGCGCGGCGGAGAGCTCCGTCGAGGTCATCGCCCGCCCCCCAGGGTACCCCTCAGGGTGCTGGTTGCAGACCACACCCTCTGCCGACCACACCCCTCGGCGTCGCCGAGGGTGTGGCTCCCCGAGGAGGGGTGCGCCTCGGATGCCCTCCGAAGCATCCCCGGCCCCCTCCGAGGGCCACCCCGCCTCTTCAGAGGGCCGTTCCCCTCTCGGCCCCACCCCCCTGGGGTTCGCAGATGCCCCAGCTATCCCGGGGGTTCCCAGCTGAGGTGTGCCAGCGCGCGCTGATCGAAGGCCTCGTTGGGCCACAGCCCATGCCCGCCCACGCTCCCCTCCGCGTCTGTGGGCGTGGCGCCTTCCCGTCCGTGCCAGCGGCTTCCACCTGATCGTCGGCTTCTCCGACAAGCTGCGGCTCATGAACCTGCTGATGGAGGACATGCGCACGTACAAGGACCGCGGGCGGCCGCGCCGGAGAGGCCCCGTTCTCGTCGCCTCCTCTGCGCCCCTCGGGCCCCGCCGCCCGTCCTGGCAGAGGTGGAGGGCCCTGGATGGAGCACGGAGGAGGAGGGAGGAGGAGGAGGAGGAGGACGGGTAAAAAGGAGGGATGCGAGAGAAGGAGGAGGAGGAGGAGGCAAGAAGGGGAGGAGGAGGAGGAGGAGGAGGGGGAGGAGGAGGAGGAGGACGAGGAGGAGGAGGAGAGGTGGAGTGATGATGATGATGATGATGATGATGATGATGATGATGATGATGATGATGATGATGATGATGATGATGACGATGATGATGATGATGTGGATGATGGCGATGTTGATGATGCTGCTCCTGATGTTGATGCTGCTGCGGCTGATGCTGCTGCTGATGATGATGCTGATGATGATGTTGATGATGGTAATGATAATGGTTAATGCGATGCTGATGCTGATGATGATGAGGATGGTGATGTTGGGGATGAGGATGAGGGATGAGGAATGGCGACAACACCGATCACCGCGACGACGGCGATGACGATGAAGATCGCGATGATGGCGACGATGACGAAGATGACGATGATGGTGGTGTTGATGATGACGACGACGCTCACGGTGGTGGTGATTGTTAGGCCGCTGATGTTGATTATGCTGGTTATTTATCATGATGACGACGGAAATGAAGATAATGAGGAGGATGAGGAGAAGGAGGAGGAGGAGGACTCGGAAGATGAGGGGTCGACGAGGTAGGATAACAAGGGGTAAGGGAAAGACGGGAAGAACAAAGATGCATCGATGGAAGGTGTGGGTGTTGAGGATGAGGCGGTTTAACGAGAAGGACGAGGAGGAACAGTTGGAGGCATGGGAGAAGATGGTGGTACCCGGGTGGAGGGAGGATACGGATGGAATGGTGATGATGGTGATGACGATGATGATGAAGAATGTGTGGAATCTGATCATGATGGTGATGATGATGTTGATGATGATGCTGATGATGCTGCTGCTGATGATTATGATGCTGATTCTGATGCTGATGATGCTGATTATCATGATGATGCTGACGAGTATGGCGAGGAGAAAGAGGATGATAAGAAGGAAGATGAGAAGGAGGTCGGAGGATGATGATAGGGAGGGAGGCGGCGGAGGAGGATCAGGATGAGGAGGATCAGGAGCATGGGTGACCATGGCGGAGGCGCAACCTATCCATGGATGACCATGGATGACCGCGGAGGACCTCATGCCACCCGCGACAGCAACAGCAGGGGTCTTTAGGGGGAGGATGCGGAAGAGCACTGGCTGTCGTGGAGCTGGGCGGCTCGATCGAGTCCGCGGGCCCCGCCCGTCCCCACCCCCTCTCACAGTGCAACCAGTACCATCCGGCCAGCCCAAGCTTGGGAGACCCGCGTGTGCTCCAACCCGGCGAGCGTAGGGGGCCGCAGGCGAACCCTACCCCTACCCCCCACGATTTCCCAGGGGGAGGGTTCGCCCGTGGCCCCCTAGAGGGGGCGGCGCTCGTGCGCCCCTGCCTGGCGTCGGGCGATCTGGCGAATGGAAGCTCGGGCGATCGCAGACGTGGATCAGGGGGGCGTGGATCAGCGACGGGCCCCGCTTCCATGGGAAATCGCGGACTTCCGCCGCCAAGCGAGGCGGCACTGGCCGCATTTTTGGGGAGGGCGCCTCCCCCGATCCATGGATCTGGCGTCCGCGCGCCAAATCCATGGATCGCCAATCCCGGCTTGCGCGCCCCCGAGGAGGGCATTCGCCGCGGCCTGGCGGGAGCGCAGCTTCCTGGGCTGGAGCGGACGCAGCATCCTGGTCGCGGGCTCGCGGCCCCGTCCTTCTCACATTTCGCGAAGAAAAACACGTGCCACGCCCACGCGGGCGCTCCAAGGCGGGAGTTCATTCATGACCACCGCCTGGAGGATCAATTCTCGGGGACCTCGGCAGGCGGTGGATATGGACATGTTCGAGCCCAGGTCTGGACCTAAACGGTGTTTTTGGTGATTTCGTGGGCCGCTTTCGCTTCGACTTCGTTTTGCGGTAAAGGCGGATTCGAGACAAATGCGAGGGGAAACGAAAACACAACGAAAACGAAAAACACCGTTTAGGTTCAGCCCTGTTCGAGCCCCCCGGGGGCCAACATATATCCATATCCGCCGCCCGCTGGGGCACCAGGACGTCGGTTCCCAGGCGTTGGATATTGATAAATCCCCGCCTCTCAGGCACGCACCTCTGGTGGACAAGCTGGTCGCTAAGGCGGAGACAGATCTGTTGTGGTCGTGCGGGCTGGCTTCCGAGTGGAGCGCCGACCAATCTGTGCCTCGCAAGAGCCCACCTTCCAGGATGCAGTCGCGGCGCTAAGGCAATACAGTCGGGGCCCTGAAGAAGGAACCGTTTTGGTTGGGGAGGGGCTCCGCGTTCCTTAAGTGTTTCACAGCTTGCCTCAGGTTTTCCTTATATTTTCGATCGGAAATCGAAGTTTAACTCATAGAAAGAAGGGACCTCGTTCCTTATTTAGAGTTCCTTAGGTCAACGCCCCGACTGTATGCGCGGAGCTGGGGCGAGAATTGCGCTTCGACAGTTTCGCTCACAACTGTCACCGCGTCCATGTCCCGCCACGCATTTCGCAGCGCCAGCGGCAACGCTGACGGGTCGAGTGGACGGCTTTTGTTTGAGGTCGCTAGCAGGGCGGCGCGGTGGAGAGCGGGAGTGTTAGGAATAACGGTTCCAGCAGCAGCAGTGGACGTGCCGTTATCCTGATGGCCTTCGGCACCACCCGCCACCGCGCTCGGGGCTGTGGTTCAGTGCCCTCAGGGTTGCCTGTTGGAGTCTCTTGCGCCAACCACAGCATTTTGCTTCAACCGGTACTCCGCCACTGGGTTCATGGAAAAGGCTCTCCTTTGCTGCAAGTACGTCGACTACGGCACCGCCTGATCCAGAGGATTTGCCTCCTCCCGGCCTGGTTCTGAGGCTGCGCCTCCCTTTCCCTCCTTCATCTCTGGTTAATTCAAGCTTCGCGCGGCCCGCTCAGCTTCGACCGGAAGAGGTGCGCTCTCGACCCGCGAATCAAAAACTGTTGGAGTCTCTTGCTCGGGCGAAGTGCCGAGGCACCCTGGGGGCGGGGGGCGCTCTCGGAGCTGCTGGTGTCTCTTTTCTGCGTCCCGGCGGCCTCTTGAGGCCTCGTGAAGGCCTCTGGGGGGCCCGCTGGCGATCTCAGGGGGCCCTCCTGGAGCGTAGGACGTGATGCGTCAGTCCGTGTGCCCCCTCGTGGGGCCTTCTCGGGCCGCCTCGTGGCAGCCTCTTGGGCCGTCTTGGGAAAGATCTTGGGGGAGGAGGAGGAGGAGGAGGAGGAGGAGGAGGAGAGGAGGCGGAGGAGGGAGGAGGAGGAGGAGGAGGAGGAGGGAGGAGGAGGAGAGGAGGAGGAGGAGGAGAGGAGGAGGAGGAGGAGGAGGAGGAGGGGAAGGAGGAGGAGGAGGAGGAGGAGGAGGAGGAGGAGGAGGAGGAGGAGGAGCTTCGGGACGCCTTGCAGCGTCGGAAGACCGGAACTGCAAGGCCACGACCACACTTCAAACACCCAAAGACGAGCAAGAATGTTTGCCTCTCTTGGACGTGCTTTTGGGGCGCTCTCTTGGACCCATCGTTCGGCGATTCGAAGCCATCTTCCACCGCTTGACAAAAAGGCCTCCGGGCCAGCCTTTGAGCCCTCTTGGGCCCGAGTAAGTCCTGCGACACGACGCGGGAAACCGCCGGAGCGCTGCAGTGAGCAGCAGGACATTTGAGAAACTGGGGTCTGGGCTCATTAACCTTCAACCATGGGGATTGGGGGTTGAGGGCTACAGTGGGCCTCAGGGCACTCCAAGTCGTGCCTCGCGGTACGGTGGCGGATGATCAGGATGATGATGCGGATGCTGATGATGTTGATGCTGATGTTGATGCTGCTGCTGATGCTGATGATGACGATGATGGTGTTGCTTTTGATGTTGATGTTGATGTTGCTGTTGTTGATGATGGCGATGTTGTTGTTGTGGTTGTTGAACTTTTTTCCCGTAAAAACAAGTGTCACGTGTGCCATAGCCCTTCCACAAAAAGGAAGGGGGAGGAGGAGGAGGAGGAGGAGGAGGAGGAGGAGGAGGAGGAGGAGGAGGAGGAGGAGGAGGAGGAGGAGGAGGAGGAGGAGGAGGAGGAGGAGGAGGTGGAGGAGGAGGGAGGAAGAGGGGGCAAGGCATCGCCCTCTGGGCCCAGCAACGGGGCCCAAGTCCCAGGTGGGGAGGGTGGGGGAGGCGGCGTGCGTCGCGACGCGGAATAAAATGCTCGGAGCGGAGGGGGCACGGGGCGGAGGTCCCACTGGGGCGCTGGGGGCGCGGAGAGGAGGTGTGTGTGTGTGTGTGTGTGTGTGTGTGTGTGTGTGTGTGTGTGCCGCGACGCGGGATAAACTGTCGGGGCGGAGGGGGCACTGGGCGGGGCTTGGGGCAGAGGGCCACGGGGCGGGGGTCCAACTGGGGCGCTGGGGAAAGGGGGGGAAGGTGGGAGGTGGCGCGCGCCGCGACGCGGAATAAAATTGTCGGGGCGGAGGGGGCACGGGGCGGAGCCCCCGCTGGGGCGCTGGGGACGCGGGGAGGGAGGTAGGGGAGGTGGTGTGCGGCGCGACGCGGGATGAAGCGTTAGTGGCGGAAGGGGCAGTGGGCGGGGCCCCCGCTGGGGCGCTGGGGACGCGGGGGGGCTCGGGGCAGAGAACCACGGCGCGGGGGTCCCACTCTGGCGCTGGGGACGCGGAGGGGGGGGGTGCGACGTGTAATACAGCGTTCGTGTCGGAGGGGGCAGTGGGCGGGGGCCCCGCTGGGGCGCTGGGGACGCAGTGGGGCTTGGGGCAGAGAGCCACGGCGCAGGGGTCCCACACTGGCGCTGGAGACGCGGGGGAGGGGGGGGAGCTGCGACGCGGGAGAAACCGTTCGTGGCGGAGGGGGCAGTGGGCGGGGCCCCCGCTGGGGCGCTGGGGACGCGGTGGGCTCGGGGCAGAAAGCCACGGCGCGTGGGCCTCACACTGGCGCTGGGGACGCGGGGGGGCGGGGGGGGCGACGCGGGATAAAGCGTTCGTGGCGGAGGGGGCAGTGGGCGGGGCCCCCGCTGGGGCGCTGGGGACGCGGGGGGGCTTGGGGCAGAGAGCCACGGCGCGGGTGCCCCACTCTGGCGCTGAGGACGCGGGGGGGGGGGGAGCGACGCGAAATAAAATGGTCGGAGCTCTAGACAGCCGCTGGGCTGCTCGGGAGAGGGGGATTGGGGGGGGTGGGGCGACGACGACGCCGACATAAAGTGGTCGGGGCGGAGAGGGCGGTGCGCTGGGCTGCTGGGGAAAAGGACAGGGGGGGGGCGACGACGACGCCGAAATAAAGTGGTCGGGGTGGAGGGGGCAGCGCGCTGGGCTGCTGAGGAGAGGGAGAGGGGGGGGGGCGACGACGACGCCGAAATAAAGTCGTCGGGGCAGAGGGGGCGGTGCGCTGGGGCGCTGGGGAGCGACACATAGCGACACATGTCGACACAACGCCGAAATAGGGCGACGACGACGCCGAAATGAAGTGGTCGGGGCGGAGAGGGCGGTGCGCTGGGCTGCTGGGGAAAAGGACCGGGGGGGGGGTGCGACGACGGACGGCGAAGTAAAGTGGTCGGGGCGGACGGAGGGGGCAGCGCGTGGGCTGCTGAGGAGAGGGGAGAGGGGGGGGGGGGCGACGACGACGCCGAAACGAAATAAAGTCGTCGGGGCGGAGGGGGCGGTGCGCTGGGGTGCTGGGGAGCGACACGAAGCGACACATGTCGACACAACGCCGAAATAAAGTGGTCGGGGCGGAGGGGGCAGCGCGCTGGGCTGCTGAGGAGAGGGAGAGGGGGGGGGCGACGACGACGCCGAGATAAAGTCGTCGGGGCGGAGGGGGCGGTGCGCTGGGGTGCTGGGGAGCGACACATAGCGACACATGTCGACACATATCGACAAATAGAGACATATATCGACACACGCATATCGACGCATAGCGACACAACGACACACAGCGACGCACACATGGAGACGCATAGCGACACACAGCGACACATATAGCGGCACATGAAGGGCACAAGGCACACAGCGACACATATAGCGACACATGAAGGGCACAAGGCAGCTGGCGACGACGACGCCGAAATAAAGTGGTCGGAGCTCTAGACACCCTGTGCAAGATAATAATTCTTTACGCTTCGCGTATCCCCACCAGCCCATCTCAAAACAGCAACTCTTGCGAAGCATACCGACAATCGTGTTTTTCAGGCGTGTTTCCGCCTGCCCCCGCATATCTCCGGGCCTCTCGTCCTGGTGTGAGTCGTTCGGGCCCTTCTTCCTGGTGTGAGTCGTTCGGGCTCTTCGTCGTGGTTTGAGTCGTTCGGGCTCTTCGTCCTGGCGTGAGTCGTTCGGGCTTCTCGTGGTGTGAGTTGTTCGGGCCCTTCGTCCTGGTGTGAGTCGTTCGGGCTCCTCCTCCTGGTGTGAGTCGTTCGGGCGCCTCGTCCTGGTGTGAGTCGTTCGGGCCCCTCCTTGTGGTGTGAGTCGTTCGGGCTCTTCGTGGTGTGAGTCGTTCGGGCCCCTCCTTGGTGTGAGTCGTTCGGGCTCCTCGTGGGGCCTCTTGGGGGCCTCTTGGAGCCTCGTGGGGCCTCTTGGGGGCCTCTTGGGGGCCTCTTGGGGGCCTCTTGGGGGCCTCTTGGGGCCTCTTGGGGCCTCTTGGGGGCCTCTTGGGGGCCTCTTGGGGGCCGCTTGGGGGCCTCTTGGGGGCCTCTTGGAGGCCTCTTGGGAGCCTCCTGGGGGCCTCTTGGGGCCATCTTGGGGCCTCTTGCGACCTCCTCAGAAGCGCAAATGATAGCTGCCCCCTGAGAAGGACAAAATGGGCCGAACACCTTCGTAAAATCAATGATTTTGCTATGAAGGAAGATGAGCGCGGCCCCCTCAGGACGCCAAAATGGGGCCAAAACCGTAGTATTGATTCTGGCTTTAAAGAAGAGGAGGGGGGCCAAACGGTGCCCCCCCGTCGGGGCCAGAATCCTCGTGAGGGTCGTTGTTTTTTAGCCCTCCCAGGAGTCGAATAAGACCCCTCCAACGACCCGCGGGGCGCCCTCTCCAGGCCCAGGGGGAGGGGGTAGGGGGAGGGGTAAACCCCTCCCCGAAGGGGAAGAAGGGGGGTTGAGAACAGAGCGGGCTCCCGAAACCACTCACGCCCAAAGGGCTGGTGGGATTATTGTTGATCCCCCTCATGTAACCATTGTATTTTTAAAACTCACGTTCTCCCGGGACTCGCACTCTGACTTTGTGATGGGAAGTCACGGGGCTCAAACTGTGTTGTTGGCCCCCCGGGTTACAACAACAACGGCTCCCGCTGGATACTTGCTCACAATGTATTCCCAAATTGCGCTCTCGCGCGAGACTTCCGTACAATTTGTATACGAATCGCGCTCTCGCGTGGGATTTCTTCGCAGGTTATTCAGACGATGCGCCCTCAGTGCTCAGGAATCTCGCGCTCTCGCTTTAGCTTTTCTCACGATCTACTTGGGAATCGCGCTATCGCTTGAGATTTCCTCGCGATTCATGCAGGACCCACGCTTCAACAACCCGTCTGCTCGACCTGGTCGCCTGGGCCCGCCTTCCCGACCTGCCCGCCATGGGTCTGCCCACCCGATCTGCCCGTCTGGTTCTACTACTTGTTTTCTGCTCCTTGCCCCCCTCCTGCCAATTTCTCTCGTGCTCCATTATTCTCCCTCCCCCTTCCACCCGTCTTCCCTTGTTTTAGGGGCCGCGCTAAACGCACGTGGCAGATAAGGAAGATCTACCTCAAAGGGGGTACAATCGAAGACGACGAGGGCGGGTACCGAGGGTTTGTGATATACGTATTGTTTGGCACGTGAGCAGATAGGAGTGAACAGTCTTAAACTTACTTGTTGTTGTTGTGGCTGTTGTTGTTGTTGCTGTTGTTGTTCATGGTGGCGAGGATGAGGAGGACGAGGAGGATGAGGAGGATGCGGATGATGATGCGGATGTTGATGACGATGGTGAATATGATGATGATGATGATGATGATGATGATGATGATGATGATGATGATGATGATGATGATGATGATGATGGTGATGGTGATGGTGATGCTGCTGCTGATGATGCTGATGATGATGATGATGATGATGATGCTGATGATGCTGCTGCTGCTGCTGCTGCTGCTGATGATGATGATGATGATGATGATGATGATGATGCAGATGCGGATGCGGATGGTAGGGTGATGATGATCGCTGCCCCCCCGGCGGCGCCTCTGGCGCCGCCCCTGGTGCGCTCCGCACGCCAGGGCGGGGGGTCAGCGCAGATCCCAGAAACCCGCGCGGACTGGCGAAAGTTCATGTTTATGCTGTTGTTCGTTTCTCTATTTTTGGGCACGCTCTTACATTGCCTCCATGTGATGTGCTACGGCTATTACGAGCTTCTCTGGCTCGTACTTCTGATTTTTTTGCCGATGACGATCGCGTGATAGACGCGTACGGGTGGACTTGGTGCGGTGTTTCGTGCTCTGGGGCTCGTAGTGGGCAGGATCTGGTCTTGTGTTTTCCATGCTTGTATCCACGTCGATCACGTGCCTAGATTCCCAACTTTGCTTCTTTCGAGTGCCTGTGGGTGTGTCCATGTTACAGCGTGCCCCCCCTACTACCCCAGAGGAGATCCCGATCAAGGCCTGCCGCGAGTGCCGTTTCAGCCACGGTGGCCAGTTTTTCGCCGCGGTGAACTCGAACACGATCGCCGTCTACAAGACTTACACCTGCGAGGTGACCGCTGCTCCCTTTGGCAACAGCTCTAAGCCTCGATTGGGCAGGGCCCCTGTGGAAAAAGCTAGGTGCTGTAGCTGGAGAAGAGCAAACTGCATAAACATAAACTTTCGGTGCTCCGCTCGAGTTTCTTGGATCGGCGCGGAACCAGAAATCCTCGCGTACATCCGAAAGGCTATGTTTATGACGTGATCTCTGACCTAATTTCATATACAGAGGAGTTGAGCTTCAAAATCTACTGCTGGGTCACACTGTGTTGCACATCGCGCCGCCCCGCGGCTCCCAGTACTTCCAATCACCTCCAGGGCTCTCTCAGCCGTCTACTTCTGCACTTGGGTGGTATTTGCGCACGGCCATATTCGTACACGCAGCCTTCTTCACTTCAAGGCAGTGTCAGTTCGAGCAGATTTTCAATTATGTAAGGGAATCATCTACGTATACCAGTGGAAAAATGGGAAGGACTGCGACAGAAAAAGGTTAGCCTTTCGACAAAACGCTGTTAGACTGGCATAGGTTTGTCTAGGCCTGCCTAGGCTGGCCCCAGCGTCAGCTGAGCTTGGCCAAGCCGCATCGAGTCAAGCCAGGCCGATCCGACACAATCCAAACCAAGCTATGATACGCTTAGCTGATCCACGCTAAATGAAGCACACCGAAGCTGCACATATCGACCGTTCAGGTAAACCAGGATACCCAACCAGCACCCAGGACCCTGCACCTTGGCAGCTCCCGCCATCCCGCCAAAGCGGATTTAGTGTACCTCGGTCTTCGTCTTGTTTGTCAAATTTGCAATTTGGGGTAGGGGCCTGGGCCGGAATGCATCCATTCGGTGCAGATGGTTAGATCTTCAAGATTTCTTCAAGCTGCAAGCCTGAATCAAATCGGGACCCCCGACTGTAGCGGACTTGTTCTACGTACAGTCGCACATATCAGGACATTGGTCACGTTCAGTCAAGGCGTCCTGTTGTTCGCTTGGGTTGCGTGTGGCTGTTGGATTGTCCTCAAGCCACCTGAACTTCTTCGCTGGCAGCGGGAGGACGAATACCATCCCGGGGCTAACAACTTCAGCGGCTTTCAGGGTCATGTGTCTTGCGGGAGGGCGAGGCCTTTTTGCTTTCACCTTGGATTGGCATCCCCAGCTCATCTCGTGGGCGGGAAGCATACCCATATCCACGGCCTAGTGGCCCAGGCTCCTTGGCACAGGGCGGCTTTGCCAGGATGCCCCGCGCGATCGCGTCCATGGGATCGTGCATCCATGGAGTCGCGCCTCGCTGTCCAGTCCGCGAGGGTGAACATCGATATGGACATTTTCGTTGCTCGTGGTCGTCGCTGTGACGAACGCCGGGCCGTGCCTTATGATATCCCAACCTGCTGTAACCTGAACCGCCAGAAATAATTCCGAGCACCAAGAAAGTGCCGAAACTCGAGGGTTTCACCTGGGAGACTCGTTCGACATTGTTTCGACACTGTTCCGACACCTTTCCGGGTGCTCGAAGTCATTTCTGGGACGTTGTCCCTGAGCAGGAATCGGGGGCGGAAAAGAGGGGGGTGATGACTAGGGGGGGGTGGATTTCATGGCGGGGGCCATGATTTTTCCCAGATTTCATGGCGCCTCTTCTTATTACGTTCCTGGCCCCCCGCTGGGCCGCGCACATGCCGCTGGTCATGATTTGCACCCCCCCCCTCTTGGACACCCCCCTCTTGGCCGCTCCCGAAGGAAGGGAGCACCACAGGCCGTGCCACTCGTCCGGCGAGGCCGCGCTGCTCGGGGCCCCAGCCGCGGTGCCCTCGCCACCGAGGGCTGCCACCGCCGTCACGAGGGCCCGGGGCACGGAGAGGGCCGGGAGAGCGCACAGGCCCAGCGCTTTCTCTTCTCGGCGTCGCCCGGACATCGCAGGCCTGTAGGTTGACACCAGCACCAATCTCGCGGCAGTGTGCCTCCACCGAGGGAAGGAGATCCCGATCTCGGCGATGGTGGCAGTACTCTGGCTTCCAGGGTGGCCGAGGTATTGCCACCGGCACCGAAAGCCAGGATCGTCTTCCCCCTGTGGAGGCAACCCCCTGTGTTGGTGTTGGTGCCCACTTCCAGGCCTCCAATAACGTACTATTACTGTGTGTGCGTCGCCCCCCCAGGGGCATCTCATACTATATACGTCGTGGCGGGCGCTTTCTGGCCACCCCGCGCGGGAAGTGATATACTCTACAAGATCTGTATACTATCTGTTCGGGTCGGACACGCGCCTCCAAGGAGAACCCAGCTCGAGCCACGCTCTTGGTTTCCCACACGCGTGCGGTCTTGGGCGAGTGGGTCATCCCAGCAGCGCTGCTCCCACGTGTGCCTTGTGAATGAGCCGGGGCAAGGTGGATCGCCTGGGTGCTTCCAGGCGCTGGGCGTCAGGTTCTGTTGCTCCCATCGTACTCGAGGGCCATGTCCCATAACTAATTTCGAGCACCCAGAAAAGTATCGAGACAGTGCCGAATGAGTATCGCCTCCCAGGGCCCGACGCGTGAAAACATCCAGCTTCGGTACTTTCCTTGGTGTTCGAAACTCTTTCTGGTGATCAAGGCTAAAGCAGGTGGGAGCATCATACGCGTCAGGGAGCTCAGCGCGGGGCTCTCTCTCTCTCTCTCCATCTGCCTGCGCGCTCCCCTGTCTCGGCGTCGGCTGAGATCGAAGCGGGCCCTTCTCCTCCTCCTCCTCCTCCTCCTCCTCCTCCTCCTCCTCCTCCTCTTTCTCCTTCCTTCTCCTCCTCCTCTTTCTCCTTCCTCCTCCTCCTCCTCCTCCTCCTCCTCCTCCTCCTCCTCCTCTTCCCATCCTCCTCCTCCTCCTCCTCCTCCGCCTCCTCCTCCTCCCCCTCCCCCCTCCCCTCCCCCTCCCCCTCCCCTCCCCCTCCCCCTCCCCCTCCCCCTTCCCCCTCCCCCTCCCCCTCCCCTCCCCCTCCCTCCCTCGAAGCCTCCCTCCCTCCTCCTCCCTCCTCCTCCTCCTCCTCCTCCTCCTCCTCCTCCTCCACCTCCCCCCTCCTCCTCCTCCTCCGACTCCTCCTCCTCCTCTCCCTCTCTCCCCCTCCTCCTCCTCCTCCTCCTCCTCCTCCTCCTCCTCCTCCTCCTCCGCCCCTCATCCTCTTCCTCCTCCTCCTCCTCCTCCTCCTTCTCCTCCCTCTCCCTCCTCCCGCCCTCCTCCTCCTCCTCCCCCTCCTCCTCCTCCTCCTCCTCCCCCTCCTCCTCCTCCTCCTCCTCCTCCTCCTCCTCCCCTCCTCCTCCTCCCAGCGGGCCCTCGAGGTGGTGTGCAACCTGCGGGGGCTGAGATCGAAGCGGGACACTCCTCCTCCTCCTCCTCCTCCTCCTCCTCCCTCCTCCTCCTCCTCCTCCTCCGCCTCCTCCCACCACAACCACAACACACCCCCCGGGGCCCCTCCTCCTCCTCCTCCTCCTCCTCCTCCTCCCGCCCTCTCCTCCTCCTCCTCCTCCTCCTCCTTCCTCCTCCGCCCTCCTCCTCCTCTCCTCCTCCTCCCCTCTTTCCTCCTCCCATATCGATCCTCCTCCCCCCTTTCTCCGCCTCCTCCTCCGCCTCCTCCTCCTCCTCCTCCCCTCCTCCTCCTCCTCCTCCCCTTCCTCCTCCTCACCTCCTCCTCCTCCTCCTCCTCCTCCTCCCCTCCTCCTACTCCTCCTCATCCTCCTCCCCTCCTCCTCCTCCTCCTCCTCCCCCCCCTTCCCTCCCTCCTCCCCCTCCCTCCCTCCCTCCCTCCCTCCCTCCTCCCCTCCCCCCTCCTCCTCCTCCCTCCTCCTCCTCCTCCTCCTCCTCCTCCTCCTTCTCCTTCTCCTTTTCCTCCTCCTTCTCCTCCCAGCGGGCCCTCGAGGTGGTTTGCAACTTGCGGGGGCACCAGGGCAAGGTGAGGTCGGTGTGCTGGACGGCGGACGACTCGCGTCTTGTCTCCACGGGCGCAGACGGCGCCGCGTACGAGTTCGACATCATCAAGGATGGCGGGGGGCCCGGAAGGGGCGTGCCAGGTGCCATCATGGTGCCGGTAAGGCCAGGCTTAAGTCGGGCATGTCCCTTCTACAAGAAGAAGGTTCAAGCATAGTCATATAGTAGTCTGGGGAGGATTTTCTTACTACCTGTTGCTATCTTGTTCTTGGTATTTTTGGACTATTTGTTTTTTCCTCCAGAATCCACCCATAGGAGGACATGCCCGACCTAAGGCCAGGCCTTTTGTGCGTCGAGGTCCGTTCTTGTTCGTCCCTTTCCCTCCCTCCTCCCATGTATATTAATCGCGCCTCTCTCTCTCTCTCTTGCCTCTTTCCCATCCATCTGTCTCTATATTTACAGGTATGTATATATGTATGTATGTATATATATATATATATATCGATTTTCAGAGATCTTTCCTTCTGCATGTCTCTTTCTCCTTCTCATCTCTCACCTCACATTCTCTCATCTCTCATCTACCATCTGTGTTGCCTCTCTCTCTCTCTCTCCCTTTTCCCTCACTCCCTCAGCTTCCTTCCCTCTCTCCCCGTCTCGGCTCGACGGCCCCTGGACCCCGGGCGCAGCCGCGACGCGAGGCCCCCGACGGAGTTATCAGCTTCCTCAACGCGTGGCGGGACCGGACGCACCGCACCCCGCCGTCCGACAGGTCCGCGTCACTGCCGTATCCCCGCGCGCGCCGCAGTGGTTCCAAAGAGCCCTCGCCGTGCGCTTCGTGCACCGCCGCAGCTTCAGCCACCGGGTAAGGGCTGCCATGGGGCAGCCCTAAGGGATCGGCAGGACGCCGCTCCCCACAGCGGTGGTGGCGTCGATCGAGCAGTCGCTGCTTACAACGAGCTGGATCCCAAACGTCGAGACAATCTGGACAGCATCTACCGACAACGCCGTTCCGATCAGCGGAAGCAAGCGCAGGAGCGAGCTGACGAACATGTGCGGGACTAGCATTCGCTGCATTATGCTGCGCCAGTCCCCGAAACACGCTACGGGCACCAACCGTGATTCAGCAGGGTCCACGGCCGCGGCCGACGCCCACCAGATCAACGGCACCGCCGCAATTGTCCGCCGATGTGCACGAAACTGGGGCGTCCTGGCTAATCACGGGACCTCGCATACCAATAACTTCACTGACACCCCACCAGGGCCGAAACACCGACCGAGGATCCTTGGGACTCTGTGGTTACCTTTCTAGCCGTTACGTCATCATGGACACCTTGTAGTAAGCTGCCGCAGCCGCCACCAACCCGTACGGGTACACCCACAGGTGTGGGGCCCAGGGCGAATCCAGGCGAGGCCTGAGTAATACCCGTGGCAAGGCAAACGCCACTGATCGCATCACTTCGCGACGCGGAATTGGACGCATAATGTTTATTCAAACCAAGCGTCCAGGGACGCTTCCCGGCGATTGTTGCACAACGAATGTGGTCCTTACGACGAGGCCTGTGCCCACCCCTATGAAAGGGGGCCTTGCCGAATAACGGGACAACCGTGAATAATGGGACCTCCAAGCGGAATCGGAGGCCTGCCAGTTTGCGAGGTTCACCAAGACCGAAGCATTCCGACTCTACGGGCCCCGTCCCGGTACAACGGGCCAACGCAGCATCGTCATTGGACGCACGGGGGACAATGATCAGTATTGGGTGGTCCTGCTGACCAAGGGCAACGCCGCCGCCCTGCCCGCGTCAAGTCTGGCCCTTCGCTCCCGCCCGCAGTTGGTGAGGTGTAGCACTGCTCCAACGTCAGGGCCAAGGCCAGCAGAGACCTCCAGTTCGCAGATGGCGGGAGCTACGGTTCAGACGCCCGCCCCCTTGCGCACCCGCGGGCACCCGTGCCGCGTTCGAGCGCGATTCCGATGCCAGCAGGCGCGCCAGCGATTGCGGCACCGACGGGAGATCGCGGCAGCGGAAGGGCTTCAACAAGCCCCGCAAACGCCCGCGCGCACGGCGAGTCCCGTAGGTGCACCGCTCCCCGCTACTTTGGAAGGTGATGCCGAGGACGTCCCACGCTACCACAGCAGTGCGATCCCTCGCCGGCCCCTGGTCGTGAGAGCGACTGGGACAGGTGCCAACGACGCGCCGAACAGCGAGAGCGATGCTTGTGCTCGCAGGACTTGCCCTTTCCTCGGCCTCAGTTCTCCTTCTCTACGCAGCTGCGACAGGGCTGCTGGGTTCGTTTGTGACGCTGGGAGTGCTCTACAACGAAGTTTTGTTTCTCCTGCCGTCGTGGGGCGAGCGACGGTCTTGGCTTGCCTCGTCTCGTATATTCCATTAAAATCATAGAAAGGCGCAGCGCGCAGCGCAGGTCCAGCGCGCCAATTCAAAACTAGGTTTGGGCGAGTGTGCGCCTGACCCTCCTCTCCTTCGCGGTCGTGGCTGGCCCGCCAGGGCTGCCCGCGACTGCGGCGAGCAGTGCCCCGATCGCCATGCTTGAGCGCGCCGCGCGCAGAACCAGGTTCCTGGCCCTGCCCCAGCGCGACGGAGGTGCCCAGCGCGACGAAGTCGATCACCTCGGGTACGAGCATCTCGATGTTGAGCAGTGTGTCGTGGTGCAGCAGCTCGACCCTGACGTGCGCGAGTGGGGCGATCACCGCCTCGATTGCAGTGTCGCGTGGCAGCGAGGCCGCCTCGCCGAGCCGCAAGTCGGAGAGGAATAGCGCGACCCTCGCGCTCGCGAGTGGGGCGAGTCCTGCCTCGGGCGCCGCGTCGCTGACCGCCGCGACGGGTGCCGGCAGCGCATTTAAAGATCGGCGCGTCGGAGGGCGCTGGCTCGACATGGGCACTCCCTTGAGCATCGCGCTGCGGAGCAGCGAGGCGCGCGCCGCCATCGCGCAGGTGAGCAGCGCGTCGGAGAGCAGCAACTCGACCATGACGTCCACGATCGGGGCGAGTGCTACCTCCAGTGCCACGCTGCTAAGCTGCGCCGCTGGGGCCAGCAGCGCGCCGATGGGCAGCGCGTCGATGAGAACCAGCTCTGCCCTGGCGCGTGTCTGTGGGGCGAGCGCCGCCTCGTGCCGCGTCGTCGAGCAGCGCGACGGTCACTGGCGCCATCGTCTCGACGTGGAGCAGCGCGTCGGGAGGCTGCAGGCTGGCCCGCGCGCCCACGAGGGGTGCGAGTGCTATCTCGCGGTTGCCGCGCCCCAGAGCACCGCGCGTTGCGCCGGCGGCGCTTTGTTGACGAGGGCGTCGGAGAGCTGCACTTCGAGCCTCGCGTCCATGAGTGGGGCCAGCTTGGCCTCGTGCACCGCTTCGCCGCCCAGGGCGACAGGCGTTGGCATCGCGACGTGAACGGCGCGTCGGACATCAGAGCCTCGACCCTGGCGTCCTCGAGTGGGGCGGCCGCTGCTTGAAGCGCCGCGTCGACCGCTGCTTGCAGCGCCGCGTCGCCGACTGCTGCGACGGGCGCCGGCGGCGCGTCGTGCGGCAGTGCGACCGAGAACAGTATCTTGGACCTGGCGTCCACTAGGGTGACGAGCACTGGCCCGAGTGCCAGGTCGCGGGCCACTGCGGCGGGCAATGGGGTCTCGATGTAGAGAGGCGCGCTGGGGAACAGCAGCCCGACTCTGACGTCCATCAGCGAGATAAGTATTAGTTCGAGTGCCGCGTTGCCGGGCGGCGCGACGGGGGCCGGTTGCTTGCCGGTCGGCAGCGCGTCGGCGAGGGCCAGCTCGACCCTGGCGCGCGCCGGCGGGGCGAGCGCTACTTCGAGTGCCGCGGCGTTGAGCCGCGCGTCGGAGAGCAGAAATTCGACCCCGACGCTCGCGCGCGGGGCGCTCGCTGTCTTACACGCTGCGTTCCGAGCGCCGCGACCGGAGCTGGCGGCGCGACTCGTCGAGCAGCGCGCCAGGAGAGCAGCAGTTTGACCCTGGCGTCGAGGGGTGGGGTGGGCGCCGCGTCGAGGACCGCGTCGCGGCGCTGCCCGACGGGCGCCGACAGTGCGTCGCTGAGTAGCGCGCGAGAACAGCATCGCGACCCTGGCGCCTGGCAGGGAGGCTCTGGCATCGAGCGTCGCGGCGCTGAACAGCGCGGCGGGTAGGCGTATCTCGACGTCGAGCAGCGTGGGGGGCAGCAGCTCGACTCCGACGTCCACGCGCGGGGCGAGCGCTGCGGCGGGCGCCGCGTCGCTGTCCGCCGGGGCGGGCGCCGGCAGATCGTCGTTGAGCAGCGTGTCCAAGGGCGGCCGCTCGACCCTGCTGTCCGCGAGCGGGGCGAATGCTGCTTCGTGTGCCACGCCGCCAAGCGGCATGACTATTAGCATCTCAGCATTGAATAGCGCGTTGGAGAGCGCGCGCCCGACCCTGTCGCCCACGCGCGGGTCTAGTCCTGCCCCGGACGTCGCGTCGCCGACCGCCGCGATGAGTGCTGGCAGCGCGTTGCGAGCAGCGAGCCAAACAGCGGTGTCTCGTCCGTGGCGCCCGCGAGGGGGGCGGTTATTGCCCTGGGTGTCGCGACGTAAGCCGCCGCGAAGAGCATTGGAAAAGCGACGTCGAGCAGCGCGCGTCGGAGGGCAGCAGTTCGACCCCGACGTTCACGAGGGGCGCTGGCACCGCTTGGAGTATCGCGCCGCTGAGCAACGCGACTGGCACTAGCACCTCGACGTTGAGCAGCAGTGCCCCAGTTAGCAGCAGCTTTACCCTGGCGCTGGCGAGCGGCGCGAGGACTGCCGCGAGGGCCATGTTGCTGGCCGCCGCGACGGGGGCCAGCGGCGCATGTCGAGGGCTCGAGTCGTGGGCTGTCCAGTCTCTACTCGGGTAGCCCCGACCTGGGAACGCATTTGGCGCGGCTCCGTCGTCTCAGTTTTGCTGCGTTGTGTGATTTGGTGGTTTGATCTTGCGCTGGGGGGGCGAATGTGGTAACGACGGGCGACGCGGGGGGGGTGGTGATGGGGGGTCGGAAGGAGGGGGGAAGGACATGTGAGGAGGGGGGTGGGGGGATGGGGAAGGAGGGGGGGGGGTGGAGCCCTTTGCCGGACCTGCCGGGCCTCGTCGCGCGCGCGACA